GAGGTCTCCAGGCTGTATCTGGAATGGAACTTTGTCAGAAGAAGGGTTAGCAGGGCCTGGGTGCGCAGCCCTGATCAGGTCATGAGTTTTCTGGGTACTCAGCTGCAAGGCCTGTAAGGACTTGAGAAGGGTATGGTCACTTAACTCCGCTATTTTGTCCTCCCCCACTTTAGGGACCAGTGGGGGCGGACGGCCAAACATGATTTCATATGGAGTTATGCCTTTTATATAAGGGGTACATCTAGCTCTTAATAGAGGGAAAGGAAGGAGGCTCACCCAGTCCTCACCCGTCTCTGCTCTTAGTTTACTCAATGTCTCCTTCAAGGTCCTATTCATCCTTTTTACCTGGCCTGAGCTCTGAGGCCTATAAATATAATGCAATTTCCATTTTATCTTTAATACTTGAGCTAATAATTGAGTGGTTTTGGCGATAAACGCTGGACCATTGTCGGACCCCAGAGCTAAGGGGAGGCCAAATCTAGGAACAATTTCTGTCACTAACTTCTTTACCACTACCTGTGCTGTCTCTAACTTTGTGCGAAACGCTTCCACCCAACCTGAAAAAGTATCAACAAACACTAATAGATAGCGATATCCGTATTTGCCTGGCCTTACTTCTGTGAAATCCGTCTCCCACTGCTCCCCCGGGGCTTGTCCCCTTAATCTGGTCCCAGGAGAAAAATTTATTCTTTTACCTGAATTAATTTGTGCACAGGCAAGGCATCTTGTAGTTACCTGCTGGACCATCTGATGTAGACTAGGTATATAATAGTCTCTTTGGAGAAGCTCCATCAATTTTGTGCTCCCAAGATGCGTACTTTGGTGTATTTGTTCAATTAATTGTCGCCCCAAGCATTTAGGGACCAGGATCCTGTTGTCCGGAAGGGTTTTCCAACCCCCCGTAATAGTGTTAGCCTCCAAAGTCTTTCCCAACTCAAGTTCTTCCTTTGTATAAGTTGGTGAAGGTGGCAGAAGTCGTTCAGGCAGAACAGGCAGAATGTGAAGAGGCCCCACTGGTTTTCTGGCGGCTTCCTTAGCCGTGGCGTCAGCAAACGCATTTCCGTTTGCCATTGGGGAGTCATCGATCTGGTGCCCCCGGCAATGGATGATGGCCACCCTTTTTGGTAGCCATATAGCTTCCAGTAGAGCCAAGATTTCAGATTTGTTTTTTATTTCTTTTCCTCCTGAGGTTAGGAGGCCCCGTTCCTGGTAAAGTGCCCCATGAACATGAGCAGTAGCAAAAGCATATCTACTATCAGTATAAATGTTAACTACTTTGTCCTTTCCCCACCTAAGGGCCTGGGTCAAAGCAATAAGTTCTGCTTTCTGAGCTGAAGTTCCTTGATTCAAAGCTTGTGCCCAGATAACCCGATTCCTGGTAACCACCGCAGCCCCTGCATACCTAATTCCTTCATCCACATAACTGCTCCCGTCTGTGTATAGCTCCTCATCAGGATCTGGCCAGGGTCGGTCAGTGAGGTCAGCCTGCAAATTCGTCAGAGACTCCAATATCTCATGACAGTCATGTAATGGTTCTGAAAGCTTGTCATCTGGGAGTAAAGTGGCAGGATTGAGAGAGGCTGTTTTCAAGAAGCGAATTCTAGGAGGGTCCAATAATAACACTTGATACTGAGTTATCCGAGCATTTGAAAGCCACCTGTCTGGTGGGCTTTTTAACAAAGTCTCTACTGAATGAGGGGCGATTATGCATAAGTCCTGTCCCAGAGTTAATTTTAGGGCTTCCTTTACCAAAATAGCAGTTGCTGCAATAGCACGCACGCACCCCGGCCAGCCAGAGGCCACTGGGTCCAATCTCTTAGATAAGTATGCCACCGGTCTATTCCAAGGTCCTAGTTTCTGAGTCAAGACTCCTTTTGCTATTCCTCGAGCCTCAGCCACATACAACTGGAAAGGCTTAGTTAAATCAGGCAGTGTCAGCGCAGGGGCATTTACAAGCGCCTGCTTCAGGCTCTCAAAAGCCCTGGTTTCATTTTCAGTCCACACTAAGGCTTCCCCTTTTCCCCCGGTGCTGGCATACAGAGGCTTTGCTATTTCAGCAAATTTGGGAATCCAAAGTCTGCAGTAGCCTACTGCTCCTAAGAATTCCCGCACTTGTTTCTTTGTTTGGGGTTGTGGTATTCCCAGAATTGCTTGAATTCTGTCCGTGGAGAGAGTTCTCTTCCCTTCCCTTAGTTCGTACCCCAAATATGTCGCCACCGGGGTGCATAATTGAGCCTTTTTGGCTGAAACTCTATAGCCTAGCTGGGCCAATTCAACTAACAAGTCCTCAGTAGCCTTTTTGCAGGTCATTTGGTCCTGCGCAGCCAAGGGGAGGTCATCCATATATTGCAGAAGAGTCACTTGTGGATGCTTTTGTCTGAACTGGACTAAATCTTGACTCAATGCTTCATCAAACAGTGTGGGTGAGTTTTTAAACCCTTGTGGCAACCGAGTCTAAGTCAATTGCCCCGAATATCCCCCTTCCGGGTCAATCCATTCAAAAGCAAAAATGGGTTGACTCACCGTTGCCAGTGGGAGTGAAAAGAAGGCATCCTTTAAGTCCAAAACAGTGTAGATCTGATGACTCGGAGGTAACAAACTCAAGAGAGTATATGGGTTAGGCACAGTAGGATGAATAGTCTCAACTCTCTTGTTTACCTCCCGCAGATCCTGCACTGGCCGATAGTCATCAGTCCCTGGCTTTTGAACAGGGAGCAAAGGAGTATTCCATGCAGACTGACAAGGCACCAAAATTCCTGCCTGCCTAAGTCTTGCTATATGAATAGCAATTCCCTTTTTTGCTTTCAAACTAATAGGGTACTGCCGCACACGAACCGGCGTAGCAGTGCTGGTTAACTGAACAATGATGGGAGGCCGATGGGAGGCCAGACCAGGTGAATTAGTCTCTGCTCACATACCTGGGATTTTATGTTGAAGTTCCTGTAGATACCTACTCGGGCCATTGCTTCTAGGAGTTTCTTCAGTTAACAAATACTCTTCTGATAGGGGACAGGTAAGGAGCATGACAGAGGGGCCTTGACCAAATGAGAGTTCAGTCACATCTCCCTGGAAGGTTATAGTGGCCCTCAATTTTTGAAGCAGGTCTCTTCCCAGGAGAGGATATGGGCACTCAGGTATCACTAAAAAAGAGTGGGTGATAGTTCCTGCCCCCAAATTTGTTATCCGAGTTTTTGTCCATGGGTAAGATTTAGTCTTACCTGTAGCTCCCTGTATGGAGATCTTCTTGTCCGACACAGGTCCTATAGCTTTTTACAGAACAGAGTGTGTGGCCCCAGTATCAACCAGGAACTCTACTGGGGTGCCCCCAACATTTAAAACTACCTTGGGCTCCTGGGGGCTCATTAGAATGGAGCCCCGGCCCCGTCATTCGGTTTCCTCCACGAGGACTGGGGCTGGCTGCGTCTCCCCTCGCCGCTGCAGTCTGCGTGGGCAATCTTTCTTCCAATGTCCGTACCCTTTACAATAGGCACATTGATCTGATCCCAGATCACTTCGACCTTTTCTAGGAATTTTCGCATTTCTGTTGTCGCGGCCTGCCCCTTCACGTAACTTCTGAGGCCCCCCCATAGCAGTCACCATAATCTTGGCCATCCTCTTAGACTGCACTGTACTGGAATCTTCCTGGTTATTATAAATCTTCTGAGCAATTTCCACTAGCTCTGACAGCAGCTTCCCTTCAAATCCCTCTAACTTCTGCAGCTTCCTTCTAATATCAGGGGCCGACTGAGTGGCAAAGGCAATATTAATAGCTCGCCTATTTTCAGGTGCTTCAGGATCTATAGGGGTATAGAGGCGGTAAGCCTCAAAGAGATGTTCTAAAAACGCCGCTGGGGCTTCATTCGGTCCCTGCACCGTCTCGCTTACCTTAGACAAATTAGTTGGCTTCTTAGCTGCCGCTCGTATACCCCTGAGCAGAGTCTGGCGATACTGATCGAGA